TGACATATTGCAATCCGATGATGCCCGACAATTTAGCGCTGCCGTCGCCGTCTCTTTTCTCCTAAAATGACCCCAACAAATTGCATTATTGAAACGTTCGTGGGCCGTTGTCGCGTTTTCAAGACTGCGTTAAAAAATAGTTGAAATTAATCTCTATACGTGGAGCCGAGTGTACATGAAGGACTGATAAAGCGTCTTTGCAAAACACCCAAAAGCCGGGCCCGGTCGCCCCGGCATGCTAACTTGACATGACCCCGTTATCCACCCGGCTGACCTCCTTCAATGCAGCCAGGTTGGCGGCTAGTGGTGCGCAATGTACGGCAGTGCTTTAAAGATAGTTAGATGCGAACGCTGTGACTATGTTCAACAGATTTTTTTATGTGAGAGGTAGGGAAAAATCATAGATGAAAAGGCTTAAAGTAGTCATTAGCCAAAATCAGCCAATGACAGCCCGCTACAACCGCCCAATAATCTACAACCACTCAATTCCCCGTGTTAGTATATACAGCTATACAGTTATACAGTCACAAGTCGGGGGGGGGGGGGGCAAATACCTGGTCATTTTTGTGCTGGGTTTTGAGCTGGATTTCCAGGGAGTCCGCCCAGCTAAGCAGAGCTTGTTGCTGGGAGAACTCCCGGAGCCAGCGGCATGAATTTGGGTATATGTGCATGACTTTATATCAGAAATTGATTATGAAACATGAAGGAGGTCAAATATGAAGTGCGTTGGATATGTACAACACAAGGATGGCAATATCTTCAAATATGTTTGTTACGTTAATATGTGTTCACAATGCTTGCGGATGATGTTCTTAACGATGGTTTTCGATACAGGGATATCAGCTATTCTTGGAAAATATGAAACCATAATGTCGTTCCACAGCTTGGGGACAAGACAGGATGCTGTAAATAGTCTAAAATTACGATAAGAGAAAGGTTGTTCTAAATGTTTTGCTCGCCTCATATCCATGCCATTGGATTCGTAGAGATTGTAAATTAAATCGAATGATGCAGGGAGCTGTGAAGTCAAAAATGTGTGCATCACAATTAGCATTTGAGATTTAGCAATATCCGATAGTTTCAAAATTTTGTATCGTTTAAAGATTGGCTCTGAGCTTTGCGGAGGATACACATTTTCTATAAGACGCACAGCCATTTTTTGCAAAATTACCAATCGATCTAGTTGAGAAGCATAATTTATGCCCCAAACCAAGCAGCAGTAATTTAGGTAAGGAAGAATCAAAGAGTTATAGAGTAGATGTGACGTTGAAACACGCTCGTTATAGAATAGATGTGAATTTGAGAGCACCAGATAATTCTGTGAGACGATGACCAAAAATCAACCGAAGTTCAGGCGTCTATTACGTTAAATGACTCCTTTACCTCGTATTATTTAAGGTCAGTCGCCTGGTCTTGCGTGGGGGAGAAAGTACGATGGCGTTAGCAGAGTAAATAGATCTCTACGAGTGGGATCGAGCGTGTTTGATAGCAGTGCTTTAGTGTAAAAGCAGGACACACTCATAAAAAACAACGGACACAGCTGGTGGCGTTTAGGTGTTGGATTATGATTAATTCAAGGTGTACTGTTACATCCGTGTGGTGTGTCGAACCTTGACATGCCAAGCGCGATGCCGGTAAAAAGACATCTGTATGGACAAGACAGTATTTATTGCCTTATTCCCCGTAGAATAACCAGAAGAATGGAAAGATAGACGGATGGATACTTCAGCTGCATGCCTTTGTCAAACGAATATCAGTAAGTACCGATATTCGTCACTAATACTACTGATATTCGTTACTATGCTTCTGATATTCGTTTCGATAAAAGCATGCGGCCGAAATATCAATCCATTTGTCTCTTCATTCTTCCGGTCTTTCTGCGGGGATAAGGCTATTAGCACTATCTTGTATGTGCGCATGATGCTCCTCGCAAATTTCTTCAACAACTTACGCAACAAGTTATAATCGATCTCTTCATTTGTAACGGTGATGGTTGCAGTAAGCTGTTTGATAGCACCATTTCAGAACGATATAATTTTTCACAAAAGCTGGACCCTGCTACCGGCACGTCTTTGTCTCATATGACCCTGTGATTATTTAACCATTTTTCATAAGATGAAAGCTGCAATCATTCCTTGCGAGTCTTGCAATAGCACTTGATTCCACAGCTTTAGTGCGATTAGACGATACCCGAAAATGGGGCGGGGGGGGGGGGACGGGAGTGGAGGGTGGGGGTGGGGAGCTGCCGATGTCCATCCACGCAATACGACCCAATCATATTTTATTCAATCCTGGTGGCATGTTGTCGTGTGGTGCATTATAAAGTACGCCAGCGATAAAATTTGATCTAATGAAAGCGAAAAATAGCATTAAGAGTGAATGAAACAGAGCGTACAGGATCACCCAGGTATACTGCAATTGAACGACGCCCAAACGTAAAGTGCAGATGGTGGTTATTTTGCTTGAAATGAATCATTCACTTGGAAATTACTCACATTGTAATTGCTTAAGTTGTACATTGGTGACATGCCATCGCGTAGCGGGCAAAATACAATGGCGTTTGAAGGTGATTATTCTCATAGTTTGCGGGTGACCGGATGCGTTTAGTATCACTGTCATAGCGTGATCGCACAAGGCTAAGAAATACATACGCACTCTGACAAGCGAGGCCGCAGAAACACAGCTGCTTTGTATGACAGTAGTGGTGTGTTATTCAGTTTGAGCCGCCGGAATTCGTGTGGCGAGAACGCTTTACGAGTAGTGATAATATGTCTCTGCGTTTGGGACGGTGCATGTCAGAGCGCGAATGTTATTTGGAAATTCGGAATTTGGGTACTTTTTCCGACCAGGTGAGAAATGAAGTTTTTGAATCCTCTTGTCTATACGAACTCAAGTAAGATGTAAATTTTTGCATGACGACATTAACGTCTCCCGGCAAATTTTGCTCCTACCGACAGGGCTGAAGCCAGAAAGAGATATACGTTAGTTTAGATAGAGACAGCAAATCGTTTGATTACCCATCTTGTGTCAGTATGAAAATTTCTGGCTCCTGTCATTCTTTTTCTAAGGATGTTGTCCTGAAAGTCACAACGTAGAAATTTGCCTCAACGTAAAGAGTATTTTTGAACGATCTCATCAAAAGCTGCCAAAAATGCAAGGTACGTCGCATCAAACTGACTTCCTTGATCAAACTGACCAGTGTCAACTTCCACAAATTAAAACAATTTCCAGATATGAATGCCCAAGCCTAAATTAGTGCCCCGTATATTCAGCTCACACATTTTCTCCCAAAATTCAAGCACATCTTGACTTGACTCAAGCACAGTGCAGAGTAAAGCACACGTATTGGTCTGGCCACAGCTGTCCATGTCATCCTGTTTAAATAGAGAAACAGTGACGCAGGCAAGGGAGGGGCGTACAGCGGGCACCTACCCTCCCCCCCCCCGTTTTATCCCGAGGGGATTTCCGGCCACTCGGAACCAGTGATTAGGGACCTACTTTGGAAGTTCGAAGGCTCTAGTCGCATTATGGGACCGACCCTGAAATGCCAGTCAGAGGGTCTTTTGCGCTGATTGAGACCCCTCTGAATCGATGAGAGCCCCTGTGTCGGCAAGGTACCAGCAGTATCGAGCAGAAGGCTCTGTGTCGGTCTGGGCCTGAGGGCCCATTTTCCAAGTATAGACAAGACAGGGGCACGCAACTGACATCGGTCGTGCCCTCAGTCAATAAGCGGCCCTCTATGTCGCTTAGGGACTAAAGTGCCAAGCGGTGGTCCTGTACTGGCAGGGGATTCCGCGCCAACGAAGGAAATGTTCGAGGGGGGGGGGGGGCGGAGAAGGGCAGGGCTGCGAATTACACCGAATGGCCTTCAAGATGGCTATTTTAGTCCAAGACACCCAATTCAAATGTGGAGCACTTCCTTTAAGGCATTAATTTCATTTGGTTGCTCCCGACAGTGTCTCCTCAACGTTGTCTAGTTCAATAGCGGGCCACAGCCGTGTTTGCAAAGTTACGACGTCGAATTTGAGATACTTTACTTTGTGTGCATCCACGTGCAAACGTCGTCAATGCGGAAGCACTATCGGCCAGCAACATAAATCATTCTTCGCGGACATAGACATTTTTGTAGTCACCGCTTGATGGTGCATGGCTGGTTAACCAAGCTTGCCCGTAGCGTGATAGCTAGAAAGCGGCGGCCCGGGAAAAATACTTTTGTTTGCGAGCGGAGAATGCAACTGTGTGCACTCCACAATGCTGGTATACGGTTACCAGCTGCCAGTACGATGAATATGGCCGATCTAGGAATCCATTTTATTCGATCGACTCCCGGCCGGCACTGAGCGTCCAACGCAGCCCTGCTTTCGTGCGTCGCTGAATGCACTGAGGGCCTGAGAGCATCTTGCTTCGTGGTTGTCTGCATTGACTATTCACAAATGCTGCACTGGGTAATAAATTTCCTCGCGTTGTGTACGTAGTTGTATGTTGCTCCTACAGGTAATGTCACTTTTTATGCTAATGCATGTTTGCCTTGATCTTATACCTTTTATTTCATACCTTGTACATGATGACGCTAATCCTGAAATCCTGCGCCGCGAGAATGGATTATAGGTTTAAAGTAATGCAACACAATACAAGATAATACACTGCAACGAAAAATTCGTGGTGTCGCCCTTGATGATCGGCTAGCTATCGAATTGACGACCCGCCTCTTGCTCATCGATCATCTCCTAAGGGTATAGCGGTGCTCGCGTATTGCAATATCGCATAACCTATAGGAAGCTGTTGATTTTAGCATTCAGAAACGCTTGCTCTAGCATTTGGTTAAATGACGTCTACTTGGCCGTGGATTCCAGCTGTGTCTTTGCTGAATATCAGTTAAACGTGTGCGCAGGTTTAGGTTTGGCAGCGTTTTAAGTCCTCTGGCTGCGACTTTCTACCCAATATGGTCAAGCTTGAATCAACTTATTCAACTCATGCTGGATCGCACTGTAGCGGCTGACAGCGCAGCGGAAGCTACGTGGGGGAAGCGGGACTGTTGGGCGCGATCGAGCATAGCTGCAGATGGTCGTCTGTTCCTCAAGTTTGGCGATGGCTGAAGGAGGAACTGCCTTGCCATCTCTGCAAGAGCAGAAAAATGTCATTTTTAAGCTTTCACAAACACCTTTGAAAACAGGGGCCACTTGGTAAGGAACGCTGATGTACACTTGTCATTTTATGCCCGTGTGCGCCATAAACGTACTATTGTACTTTCATCGGTGTACAAGTAGATTTAAGTGTGTGATTTGCTATTTGCAGTCTTGTGATTGTAATTGAGTTTTATTCTTGCAAGTTAGTTCTAATAAAAATTATTTCTGATATTCTAGCATTCATTATGTTGTTCTTGCTGTGGTGTTGCATTTCACCAATATACCACACAATGCCAGAACCTTTCTCGTGGTTAGACCAAGTGACAGTAATGCCATAGTTTTTTTGCAGTGGTTGTGCTGGCAGTGCACGCATTTGACACAAATACATTTGTTGAGGAGCAATTCAGATAGGAAAGGAAATCAGTAATGAGGACACCAAACCAACTTACTGATGGCAAGCACCTTATATTTTCTTCATTAAAAATGCTATTATGATCTTGGGATAAAAGTTTGAGAGGGTTCTGCTCACCTCCCCACATCATCTGTGCCTTGGAATCCAGGGCATGCTCCCATTGGTCCTAGTACCTTGTAGCTGCTCCAAACTGATATGATTGTTCCCATTGCTACTCCATTCTTCTCTGAGGTTGTCATAGCTTGCTGCTAACCCTCTCCAAGTCCTCCAAAATTGAAGGTGGTTTTTCAGGTTTGGAGATGGATAGATGAGTTGCTGTCACTTGGCAGCATATTAGGACTGGTGTATGTTCATTTCCATTGTTATATGATTGTCCTTTTGATTACATTCAGTCATTTTTTAAAGTTTCATATTGGTATATTTGTTCTTATTTTATATATTTATTATTGTCACTATATTGTTTAGTAACCACAACTCAAACTTTATCTTCCTTCATGGTGGCAAGGCTGCTTGTGAAATTGCATGCAGCCAGACAACTGGTGCCTGATCCAAAATTTCCTGTCATTGCATCAAAACCGTTTGGTTAAATTGTGTGCGGACAGCTGATAACTCCTCCAAAATTGTTCCAGTAGAATACCATTGTTACCTCTCCACCAACCTCAACTTGACTGCTGGGAATAACTGGGCCAGACCCTTGGTCTGCAATCATGTAAATGTCATATCAAACTCCTCTGTTGCCTGACTAACAACCAGTCCTTTTTCAACCCCATGACATGTAGATGCTGGTAGGGCTTTACTAATGTGCAACATGCCCTTAACATCATTTTATTGATTTTATACTTATTGTTGTTTGCTTTAAAAAATGTTGTATATTGGTGGCTTAATTCTGATTTTGTTTGCTGAAAAAATTTGAATGGCTGGCCTTATTCTGTTAGAGCAGTTGAGTATGTAAAAAGTGACATTTTTTTTTTGTAAGTCCTGGCATTGTATCTGTGAGCTATTGTGGTGTTATAAGTGTGCTTTTGGTGTTTTTATTTATGATGGAGTTAAGATACTAACTACATTTTGATGGAAAATACTCAAGACATCTTTAGACTATATGTCATAATACTTAATCCATATAACTTTGTATGGAGGTGCACAGCACATGATATATATTTGTTGAGCAGGAAATACAGTTCCTATCCTTGTCCATAAATATAGACAAAATGTGAGGAGTGAGGTCATGAAAGCACCCATGACTATTGCATTTCCTTCTGCACAACAAACTTTGATAGCTTTGGTGCTGGCATATACTATTTTTGAAAGTTATGAACACATCTAATGCAACTTGGATGATTACTTCCTTGTCCATTATTTTCTCCCTTTTTTCTTCTGTCATTGGAGTGGACAGCTTAAAACCATGGAAGTATATGGACATTAATAGCCCATAACCATAGTGTGCAGCTGTTGATTAAATGGTAGATAACATTGTTTTGTTGTGTTTTTGATGCAGCTGTTTGCAGAGTAAACACTGCTGTGGATTGCACATATATCAGAGAAAACTTCTGTCTGTGAGGCTTAAAGTTTTTGTCTTAAGATATTGTAATGGGTGCTATGGGATAGCACATTGTTAAAGGGAATATCCCACCTTTTTGTACTTTTCACTTGTTACATGCATTGTTAGATCAGACACATCAATTTTATCAGCTGTACCAGTTTCTCAAAGTCCTTCTAAATAGCCCATGATTTAAATTTGGAGTGGCCACTTGTGTGAGAAAAATCTTATTAATTCCCTACTTACTGCCAGGAAACAAATACATTTAATTTGGCTTACTTTTCCAATGTGTGTTTTCCATGATCTTTGCAACACATTAATGTGTGAAATGTTTGTGTAATAACTGCCATGATAGGTTGAAATCTGCTGTTTGGAAAGAAATATATGCAAACAGGAAGCAAATTGCAAGCAGGAAATATTCTGCAAATTCAATGAAGCATTATACTATGGCTTTGATTTCTGTCTTATAACATTTACCACACTGGCCCTTTCAAGGCACATTTTGGCTTTTGAAATAGGAGTATATCATGGTCCTTTGTGATGCATGGGTTCAAACTTCAACCAGTGTGCTTTTCACTAACAGTCTCTTGCCACCCTCTGCACCAATCACAAATATTCTTTTATTTGAGGAGGTGCACATGGTGGTTGTCATGCAAACAATGATCGCAACTGCAGGGAAGAAGCATGGTGCTGTTTTCAAAGCCATGAAAGCATAATTTGGAATAAAAGTTATTAGAACTGATGTCCTTATTATGTCTTGGCAATGCTGCAGTGGCACTACCCAGTGCTGTTATTAGACATAACTGATTGCTAGGTTGCACTAGAACATTTTTTAAGCACACCCCAGATATTGGACACTGCCTTTAACTGATCATCTTCACACTATTATATTTTTGATATTTTTATCATGTATGGCATGGCAGCTGAAAGGATATGACAAACCATTGCATGATCATCATTTCATTTGATGTGGTCATCATTATGATATTTATGATTTGTGATGGGCAATGGTTTCACTGTGCTTTGAACCATACAGTGTTATTTATTCTAAAATGTTGCACAATGATTATGGTACAACATCAGTAAGCTGTGCTAGCCTGATGCCACGTACTATGCCATGACTGGGCGGAGCACCGGTCCTTCGTGAAGTCGGGTGGCCGGTGCGAAACTGGGCTGCCAAAGCGTGATAGTACTTGCGATCTAGGGCGCAATTTAATGTTATGCCAAAACATGTGAACATAATGCTACATAGTGAACCATCTAATGAAGCATCAGGAGGAAATAAATGAGTCAAACAATGTATCGCTGTCCCAATTTAACACACCACATGTGGGTAAGTACACGATGCCCCGAACCCAACCGAACCCAACCGAACCCAACCGAACCCAACCGAACCCAACCGAACCCAACCGAACCCAACCGTACCGTACCGTACCGTACCGTACCGTACCGTACCGTACCGTACCGTACCGTACCGTACCGTACCGTACCGAACCGAACCGAACCGAACCGAACCGAACCGAACCGAACCGAACCGAAAACCGAACCGAACCCAACCCAACCGAACCAGATTGAACAGAAAGTAATTCGACCATGCCCTACTTCTGCCTCTACCCGTACCATTACCCCTACCCCTACCCACACATCCACACACCCGCACACCCATACTCATCCTTATACTCATACTCCTGCCCCTGCTGTTATCCTTGATCCTTCAAATACCTGTACCCTACCCATACCCAAACCCCTTATTCCCATACATACCCCTATCCATGCTCATGCCCCCACTTATACCCCTACCCCTATTCCTTCCCCTGTTCCCGATTCCTCCTATGCTATTTTCCGTTCTCATATGCCTCCTGGACCCACATATTCACCTAGTTCCCCTCGAACCCAACACTGACAGTGATATGTAAAACTACACCATATCCCCTGTAAACTCGCTGTTACTAACCCATTGCGTCTCTTTTCATCGGTCCGCACCCAGCTTTCCAAGCTTCGTTCCTAACCCGTTGTGTAGCTAGTGTATAAAACTACGCGCTATCTCCCTCCCCCTAACTCATTGCTACCTGTTGGCATGTATAGTTATCGTCCCCCACCAAATTGAGTTCGCGCATGGGAACGAAGCCGGCCTTGGCTATTTCACGAATGTTTTTCTTCACGACTGGAGCCATCAGCAGCTTCGGGTTGGGCTTTAGACTGGAGCCATCTTCCGCGACTGGCTTCGGTTTATACTTTGTGCCGTCACAAACAGATGGCTTGTGGCCTTATGGAATTTCTGCAACTGGCGTCAGCTTTGAACAATTGTCAAATTATTACTCCTTGTCGGCCTTACGGCAGTCTTGAACTGGCTTCGGTTTGTTCATGGTGATTTTTCACTGCATTAGCTTTTACTTCACATAAAGATTCCTGCCTGTCCGGTCATCACAAAGAACCCCAGTTTGTTTTTAGGCCGCGACGCATTCGTGGCTGAAACCCAGAAACAAACTGCTCATTCTTGGACCAACTAACACCTGATGACGGGCAGAAACCTCACTGAACGGCATGTGTTCACGCTAGATGAGGATGACAGTCCGAATAATCTTCCATCCATGATGCATTGCCATTGTCTCAAGACATTGCACACACCCATGATGATAGTTTGTTGTCCGCACAGTTTTGGGAGGAACACAAATGTTTTTGGTCTTGCGCATCAACACCGTACTCTAATTTGGCTTTGGCTTTGCCGAGTGACTTCTCTTAGCTGATGGGTTCGGCTTCAGATAGGCGTTTTCCAATTTCGAAGCTGCTGCCTTTGGCTTCGGATTCGCGTGCGCATAGTTCGAAGCTACCGGCCACTGACCACTGACTTTGGATTCACGACTTCATGATTTCCAAATATGAAGCAATAGACTACAACTTGTTTTTCGCTGTTCGTACTTTGAAACCGCCGGTTGCGACTTTGGCCTCGTGTCCCGTCTAGGCTTTGGATTCGGCTTCGAAGCCAGAAGCCTGACATCAACCCCATACCTGAAGACCCATGTAGCCGACCGTTGTCCCATTGGTGTGTAACACATGCCAAAGTTTAACCTTTTTCTCTTCTGTTTGACTGCCAATCAATGGTCGGGGATGCATGTCGCGGCCGTCTGACATCGTGCCAGTATTGTCCTGTTGGCAAACACCGACAAGTTGAGATCGTAATTATTTTATGCGGGGTGTAAAATAATGCAATTTTCGGTCAGGTAGATGTTTTTATTGTTGTAAGTATTGTGTACCCTAAAAAAGCCACCTCACACGTATAGTTGTAGGCTGATAGCGTGGGTGACTTATTTCGCGCTGGAGGTTTGTCACATTCTTCTGCATTCCCTGTTTTATTCTGATTCCCGATGTGGGCAGAATGACAGTATTTGTTTGCTGTCAACATTCTTGCAGTCAGGTTGAGTATGATTTGTATGCTTTGCCACTAATACCTTTTTCTTTATGTGTTGCAGGTACCTGATTGATACTGTGTGGTTCAAGCAGTGGAAGCGCTATGTGGGATATGAAGAAAGGGATACGGCACTGATGGGCCAGCCTTCGGCATTCCCTGGCCCCATTGACAATTCTCCTCTTATGAAAGGTATGGGTGACACTGCCTGCTCACATGCCGTGTGTTCGGTGCTCATCTTCATGTGCGCAGAACATGCGTCTGTGGCTCTGATGTCAGCATCCAGAGCCATGGTCATGAAGGTGCACTCCCTCTGTCATAATGCAGTCTCTCCCCCTTACTGGTGCCATCTCAGGTGTCATTCTGACCACCCCAGCAGCCGCGCGGGTCTCCACAACCACGGTCCGTAAGTGATCCATCTGTAACCATGTGCCATCCTGCACCAGCTCCCAGATCATAACATCCACTTGTCCCACAGTGGCATCCGGGACGCGCGTGATCCATCAGTACTTAACAGCCCATGGCAGGCCTGTTGCAGCTCCTGGGTAGCGTATAGCAGCTGACAGGGGTTAGCGTACCCCCGGCGCGCATTAGCCCGGGCCAGCAGCAGTTCCTTGGGCTCGTAACAGTGCTGGGCGCGTGCACTGCAGAGGACGACAGCGGTGACATCAACGACCAGATGCTGGACTCAGTCGACTACGAGCTGCTGCCGGAGGAGGCCTGGAACCGTCTGCAGCAGTGGTACACTCTCGCCGCCGGCCAGCGGCCCATCGCTCGCAAGGTCAGCTCCCCCCCCCCCGGGCCGCGTGTATGGGACGGTCCCCCAGGGAGGTCAATCCTTGCTTGGGTCAGCAGGCCGCTCCCCCGCTCGGAAATGTCCCGGGGCAGGGGATGGCACCATGATGGGTTCAGGGCGATGACGTGGGACCTTCTGTCGTCGAGGAATACCCGTTGCATTGAAGGGCGTTACCCGTGCCGGAGTGGCATCCCTCCCACACGGCACGCACGCAGGCATCTAGTGTGATGTTATAACGGTATCATGTTTTGTTTCGTTTTGTTGTGGTATTTGGCTACTGACAAAGCTACTTTGTTTACGCAGGTCATCGAGAGTGGTGTTTTTATGAAGCAAACTAAAGTGGAAGTGTACCTTTTGGAGTTGAAGCTATGCGAGAACTCTAACTTGGACCATCAGATAACGAAGGCATTTAGTAAAGAAGACACTATTGGTAAGTTTGGATGCGTCTACAAGTATCTTGCCCAATGTTAAAAAAATACTTCATGAGCTTAAAATCGCGCTTGTGGGGTACCGTAAAACAAAAGCGTGCATGAGATTCAATACCTCCATCCACGCAGTAGGCGGTGTTTGTGCACTGCTGGGTTATGACGCTTAGCCATGGTCGTCAGTTATGGATAGCATTGTGTTTTAGGTTAGAGGGCGGAAGTTAGTAGTTGATATGGTGCACTCATGCCATGTTCCGCACATCCTTGAGTTCAAGAAATGCTTTGGCTTGTGTATCGCCACCCAATGGTCGCAATGTACGCTGACGCATGCCAAGTCCATATCATTGCTTGTCGTGCGCACTCTCGAAGGTCCTGGTGCTGTGGCGATGGCTGCGTCGTCTCCTTCACGGAACCTGATCCATATCTGCACCGATAGTTGTATTCCACTCGTCACGCTGTATCGACGAGGACTGAGTCGCCGGTTATCATGTTGGTCTCAAAAGTCGTCACACCCCGCTGGCATCAAGTGCAGATAGACCAAAGGCCTGCCATACAAAATCAGTGCAGATAGACCAAAGGCCTGCCATACAAAATCAGTGCTTGACAGTGCTGTAATGTTAGTGGTAAAATGGGCATGACGCTGAAATGGAGGATAAGTGATTAAATGGAGAACTAGACATGGCGCTGAAATGGAGGATTAGTGCTGAAATGGAGAACCAGACATGGTGCTGACATGGAGAGCGAGCGAGCGGGCGGGGCTCGTGCGCTGGCGTGGCCGGCCGTGTGCGTGTCTCCCCGGACCCATCCAGCGCCGGGTCGCCAGGTGACCTGGAGCGGACGATGCGCGAGCTGTTCGACGCGCCAACCGGGCGCGAGTCGCGCGTCTGGAATCGCTACACGACCAACACGTACGAGCAGCTGGCCGACCGGCAGGCCACCATCAGCAGCGCCGGCCTCTATGTCGGCCAGATCATCGTGCTGGAGGTGCAGAACGAGGACGGCACCTGGCCGCGACCTCGACCTAGGTCAGTGGGCCGCCGATGGCGCGCCGGCCACGTGGCTGTATCGGAAGGCGACTCGTGCGAGGAGCACAGTCTGACTGTGCTTGTCACTGTGGCGTCCAGGAGTCATCTGTGAAATGCGTCGAGTGCACGGTATGCTCAGCATTGAGCTCCATCTGGACGCTGGACCGCACGGATCGTGGCTCAGTGGCTCATGCGGGTGAGATTGACGTGTCTCGAGGAGGAAGAGGGGGGTGTTGGGGAGGGAAGGGGTTGATGCACCTGTTGACGTGGTTCAGGGATGGGGATGGGTGGTGCGCCCGCGCTCCGTGACGTGACGCGACCGCCTCTGGTTGGCAGCTCCTCCGGCGCGCTCAGCTCGCTCTCCAACGGCTCCATGGACACCAGGTCCACCTCGTCTTCCATGTGAGCAGGGAGCGGGGCTGGCCAGCAGGGCCGACGCTGCTAGTTGGGCGTCTCACTCCGTCGTCCTGGCCGCGTTATGCCGCTAGTTGGGCGCCTCGCTGCGTCGCCCTGGCCGCGTGATGCCGCTGGTTGGGCGCCTCACTGCGTCGCCTTGGCCGCGTGATGCCGCTAGTTGGGCGTCTCACTGCGTCGCCCTGGCCGCGTTATGCTCTATTTAGTTGTGCGTCGAGCGTTCTGCGTGGCTTGTAGGGCACGGTCGGCCCGGACGCGCGCGTGTGTGTAACGCCGCCTCCGCGTCTGTGGTTGTATTTACTTGTGGGCGCGCCCACGCATCCCTGTTGGCCTGTCATGATGTATCTTGTCTTGTCTTGCCATTCGCCGTGATGTAGGCAGTATGATGGTGGTGAGGTTTATACGAGGTTTATGACGGCCGGTAACGTGGGGCGACCCATGGCCAGTGCAGTCAGCGCGCCCGTAAGCCCGGATCGTCACTACAACGGCGCCTAATTATGGCGCGGGATTCGTGTTGACTGGCCACCTGTGGCGCGGCAGGATGACTCGATACGGCTACGGCTCGGCCTCGCCGTCGGGCGGCGGCCACCAGCCGGGCCTGTGCGGCCTCTCCAACCTGGGCAACACGTGCTTCATGAGCTCGGTGCTGCAGTGCCTGTCCAACACGCCGCCGCTGTCGCTCTACTTCACCGAGAACCGACACCTGGCCGAGCTCAACACCGACAACCCGCTGGGCATGCGCGGCGAGATCGCGCGTGCCTTCGGCAGCCTCGTGCAGGAGATGTGGAGCGGCCGCCACCAGTCGACTGTGCCGCGCACGTTCAAGGTACCTGGTGCCCTCTAGGTGCACACCCTGCGGGGGGTACCACCAGCGGGGAGGCCGTGTCTGGCGGGCGTTGGTTTTGCTTGCGCCGTCAGACGCCTGTTTAAGTGTGGGCTGTGTCCTCGACAGCCGGTTCCCATGAACTGTGGCCGCGCGGCGCGGGCAGCTACACGCGGTGATCATAACACGTTTTCCGTGTGAGGCTCGCGGTACCTCTGCGTGCGTTTGCTGAGTCCCCGCGTAGAAGGCGGGATGAGGGAGACCACTGTAAAACATGACAGGGTTAAGGAGCACAAACACAGAGTGTACGCGGTCTGGAGTTTTGGTGATCCTCTGATGCACTGATATGGATGCTGTGTGAACGCGCAGCGATGGCGGATCGTGGCCGGAATGCGAGTAATCACAAGAGGGTGCTGGCCGCGTTGTGTGGTGTACGTACGCCATAATCACCTCTTAATTCCATTCAGTCTCCGGGGCCAGCGGTATGTTTGCACATTTGGACGTATGCAACATGCATACGATAAAATGCCGTTACAAGGGGGAGTGCGGAGGTCAATGCTAACGGCGCACCGGGCCCGCAGCACCAGGTGTCGCGGTTCGCACCGCAGTTCTCCGGCTACCAGCAGCACGACTCGCAGGAGATGCTCACCTTCATCCTGGACGCGCTGCACGAGGATCTCAACCGCATCCACAAGAAGCCGTACATCGAGCTCAAGGACTCGGGCGGCCGGCCCGACTCGGTGAGTACGGCGCGGCTGGACGCGCAGCTTCCCTTCGCCAGCGGACTGAGCAGCGCAGTATGCCTGCAGTCCTGCAGTCTTGATGCCTTGAGTTGTGTTTTTCTTTTCGCTACAGCTCGCGGTGTGCGGGCTCATCGTTACCAAGCCTTGCTGAAGTACTGCGCGGCGGCGTCTGCTCTCCGGCCCCGTGACGAAGGAAGCGCCCCAGGCGCAGCGCGTGGCCGTGCGCGCCTGCGGACCCCGCCCAGCGCTCACACGTCGCTGCTGCGCGCCAACAGGAGGTGGCGGCCGAGGCTTGGGAGAACTACCGCAAGCGCAACAGCTCCGTCATCGTGGACATGTTCCACGGCCTGTTGAAGTCCACCGTGGTGTGCCCCGAGTGCGCCAAGGTGTCCGTCACGTTCGACCCGCACTGCATGCTGCAGCTGCCCCTGCCGGTCAAGCGCGAACGTAATATCGAGGTCAGTCTCGCGGCCAGCTGGTCGGGGTCACTGTCTGCACCGGGTCACCCAGCTGGTCGCGGCCACTGTCGCCCAGCGCCGCGCTACCGGTGGTTCGGCGGTCGCGGTATGGTCGTCTCGCATGTTTGTGGGTCTCACTCGTGTCTTTTCATGCTGTCTTGCTATTACAGTCGGCTCTACGAAGTGCACCTCTCCCGCTTTGGAGATGTCCAAAGGCATGTCTGTGACGGCAGCAGCACCAAAACAGCAGTTTGCCCCTGCGACGTTCCGCTTAAGACACAGGGCCCCACCTGAGCTCGCTCGCGATCGACACTGACTAGCATATGTCAGGCGAGTTAGCGTGAGTGACATGTGGCATGCGTCGCTCCCTGTCGCCGGACGGCGGCGGCCGTCGCGTGACGGACGACGCTCGCTCGCGGCAGGTGCGTCTGGTGTGGGCTGATCCCAGTCGGAGGCCCATCACCTACAAGGTGACGGTGCCGAAGCAGGGCTCGGTGGCCGACCTGTGCCGCGCTCTGGAGCGGCTGGCGCTCGTGCCCCATCAGTGTCTGGTGGTCGCTGATGTGTACAACAGCAAGTTCCACAAGATCTTCACCGACGCCGACCCGCTCAAGGACATCAACGACAAGGACACCATCTGCGCGTGAGTCGCTGCGGATGTTCGAGTGTATGGCAGAATGAATGTATAATATATATATATATATATATATATATATATATATATATATATATATATGCACACTATTGAAAAGAATGACATTTGTCTTGCTTTGGCTAGCGTCGGGTTAAGTTTTTGGACCTTTCGAACGGTGCTTGTGACATGGTCTGTGAGATCAAAAAGTGGCTCATCGAGAGGCATGTGCCATTTTATAGATTCGTGGATTCGATGCATCTTCTATCGTTTCACGAAAGCGCACCTGGCTCTTCTGTTCATGTCGGCGATAACCACATTACAAATCAGAACATGAAATACGGGCGTACAAACAACAATAGACTCCTTTGGTTGCATTGTGTTATGTTAATAATGGACTCTGCATGGCTGGTAGATGATTTTTTTTTGCCAAGCCAAAAAAAAGTTATCCCATGAGAATGCCATAGCTATTTGTATGCCCGTGATTTATGTTCTAGTCTTTAATGTGTCAGTCGCTGACATGAGATGAAGAGCTAGATGTTGCTTTTGAAGATGGATAGGGGAGGCATCCGAAACTTGCCACACGTGCACCAGGTGGCCGCCGGACGTCGGCCGCAGCCTGGCGAGCCTGACAAACACACGTGTGTGATGGCCGGGCCAGTGCCGTGCCGCGGTCGGGCCGACCGCATGCGGAGAGCGAGCCGGAGCAGCCCACGGCGGCGCTGTAGCGCGAGGGCTGGCAGGGCCGCTCTGGCCGACTGGCCGCGCCGGCGGAGTGAGCGGGCGAGCTGTGAGCTGTGAGCTGTGAGCTGCTGAGCTGGCGTGAGCGGGTGGCCGTATGCCGCAGGTACGAGGTGTCGCCGCCCTCCTCTGGCCTGCTGCCGCAGCCGGTGTACGTGGGCCGCGGCGAGGGCGGTAAGGTGGGCACGCCGTTCTTCGTGTGCGTGCGCCGGGACAAGACCAGCTACGCCGACCTGGTGGCGCTGGTCGAGCACGCCATGTCGCGCTACGTGCGTCCCATCAGCAGCGCCGACTGGTGGACCGGCCCGCCCGACGGTGGGTTACGGGCCGGCGCCGCCCGCCGAGCGTCGGCCGCGCCGCCGCCGCGGTCGGCAGGCCGGCGGCGGCGGCGCGGCCGCACTGCCACCGGCCGCCAGGCGATTGCCTGCGGCAGGCGGCGTTTGGGGAGAGTTTGACGTGCATGTCGGTGTGATGTAGGGTGCGCGAGGCTTTGTCTTTGTGACCGCTGCCGGTCAGCGTGTAGCGGTACAATGTCAAGCCTATCTCGTCGTCACTGCTGGTAACGAAGTCTGAGGAGACTCGTTTATTTGGGTCGCACGTAGCGCCATCACCTTCCTGGAGCACATCGCAGACTAGCTCGTGACCGTGACCTGTCCGCTCCCTTTCAACCCATGCAGGGCCTAAAACTCAGACAATCATCGCGTCTTGCTGCTGTATCTATGCGGCCTTTACGTCATCGTCGCCTTCCTGCTTCCGCTCCGCACATGGGAAGCCTCATTACCTTGGGCTGTCTGCCCGTGTGGACTTGAAGCTGCTCCCGGAGCACCTGTGGCGCGAGTGTGTGCCGCCACACCGCCGCTGACGCCCGTGCGCCGGCAGCCGTGCCCAACGGCATGTCCGCCTGCTCGTCCGAGGACGAGGCCGAGCCGGACGAGCGCGACGAGCCGATGGAGGCGGCGAAGGCGGCCGCGCCGCCGCCGTTCCGGCTGCAGCTGGTCAACAGCAGCGGCAACACGTGCCTGGCGCGCCTGGAGCCGGCCGAGCCGGACCGGCCGCTGGCGCTCGCCGACGGCGCCGTCGTGGAGGCGCTCTGGCAACCGGCCGCATTCGCCGCCGCCGTCGACACGCTCGAGGCCGAGGCGCGCGACGAGCACGAGTCGGTGCACGCGCGGCCGGCGGCGCGCCGCCCCTGCATTCAGCTCAGCGACTGCCTCGAGCTCTTCACCACCATCGAGAAGCTGGGCATCAATGACGCCTGGTTAGTGGAGGCGGCGGCGCGTGCCGGAGTGCCGGGGCGTCGGGTGGGAAGGAGCGCAGCTTGGTCACTGGAGCATTTGCCTGTGGTGTGTCATGAAACTCGACAGGCTGCCTCGGCACTGGATGTCACCTGCTGTTTGGCACGTGCTGTCATTTCGCCGCAATTTTGGTAGAATGGCATAGCATCTGATCGCTTGCATTACAAAACTGGTGACATTACAAAACGGTTGTTCGCGGGCATGGCAACTGGTTCTTACTGTCAGTCTTTTTGAGATGCGACTGGTTTTTCGGGCCGAAAATCCATGCTTGATTTTGTAAGATGGGCTGGATTGTAAGGCGAGTCCAAAGTTGTTCAGACGCGAGCCTCGTGCAGCCGTCACTGGGTGACCGTCCTCACTGTGGGCCCCAGTCGATACCGACGGTCGTGTCCCGCCGCGCAGGTACTGTCCGGACTGCAAGAAGCACCAGGAGGCGACCAAGAAGTTCGACCTGTGGAGCCTGCCTGACGTGCTGATCGTGCACCTGAAGCGCTTCTCGTACACGCGCATCTTCCGCGACAAGATCGACACGCTGGTGGAGTTCCCGACGCGCGGCCTCGACATGCGCCGCCACCTGCTGGACCCCAACCAGCCCAACTCCACCTACGACCTGATTGGCGTGTCCAACCATTACGGCGGCATGGGCGGTGGTCACTGTGAGTGGAGCGGCGCCGCAGAGCCGGGCGCGGGCGGACGCCGGCTCGAGAGGAGCGCCACGGAGGGGGGGGGGGGGGCGCAGGGGTGGCGATGGACGCGTCACCTGGCTGGCCGCGGGGGTGGCGGCACTGACGAGGTGGCTGACGGACAGGACTGGGGGTGGATGGGGGCACCGCCAGAAGCCAGAGGCCCAGAGGTCCAGGGATCAGAGGCCAGAGGTCAGAGGGCTAGAGGCCGTCGGTTCTGAGGTCATCAGGGTTGGCGTGAGCCCACGGTCGGTGGCGCCGGTCCGACTGTCCGCCGCTGTTCTTAGTCGGCTGCGGGGGATGCCCGGAGACGCGGGTGAACGGGAGCAGAGCAGAGTGCGTGGGGAGCCCTCGCGCCCGGCCGGACTCGGCTGGGCCCGGTGGCGCGTCGGCGGCCCGCTGACCCGACTGCACGCGGCCACCGGCTGGGGTGGGAGCACACTTCATGTCTTGGCTTGCGGACACAACCGTTTCGCACGTGTGCCGTGAGGCGTTCCAGGGGATACCCAATGACTTTGCTAAGATGACGCCGCCCTGACGTTTGTCAGTGCGGAAGGCGGACCTGTCTATTACGTAAACGATTCCCGGCCGTGTGGATATCGCTAAGCTCCGAGGTCATATTGTGGCAGAAGTGTGGTTTCGTACCTTGCGAGACCGTGCCTGTCATCAATTCCAGGCGGCCGTCGTCACCGCCTCTTGTCTGCGAAAACTTTGCGTTTGTCATTTATTCCGCATTCCCGTGAAAGTCAATGGTTGCGAGTCTTACCAAGTGCATGCTATTTTAACGCAGAAAGTTCAGCGAGATCGTGGGCTTTTCGTTTTATTTTGGGTGTAGCTAACCAAACTGACAGCAGTCTTGCCTGGGTAATAGCCAGATTTGCGTGTGACAAGGAAGGGTGGTAAATCCATATAAATGAAGTGTGGTAAATCCAAATAAAAATGGAAGTGATTGGTAAATCACTGCCGTGAAAGCAAAGCGGTCGCTACGAACCGAGTGTCAGTCTAAACATTGCACAGCTGTCACGAAATGAACACGAAGCTGGCATTTGCTTCATTACTAAAACTTGCATTTTCATAGAATTTGTCGACATTTTTGCAGTCAAGTCGTATGTGTATTGTTTAAACGCTCTGCTTTTCCGTGGAAAATGTCTTCCGGTGAAAACTGTATTGTCGGTAGGCTGGTAAGACATTACCCGGGTGACTGAAGGTACCAGGACGATCGTGCATTTTAAGATGAGGTATTACAATAGCTTACCTCGTTTTAGGGGCCTTACCAGAAATCTATTCTACCTATGATGTACCTACGTTTTCGGTAACATTAACATTTTCTCTCCCGCTATTTACCATGTTCAGAATCCTGATTACTGCGTGGAAAGGAAACGTTGGAATGGGAGGCTGCGTATTACACTTGCACCACGCAAACGCAAGCGTCGTTCTGGACCAGCAGCCACCGCTAGACAAATCAAAAGTTTGGCAAATGCACAAGCTAGACAGCACTGTCTGTTCTTTTTGCCATGCAAAGGAGAAATTCGTGCCGTTGCCGCGTTGTGAGATGTGTGCGCGGCGAGGTTCGATTGTGATGACGATAATTTGGGTCTTGGGGTGCGCTGGCTGCATTGGTCGCAAGACCCCAGCATCCGAACAATTACCTGGCGCCGTCTCGGTCAGCCAACGCACGTGACTTCTCCCTCGGTACGTTACAGACACGGCGTACTGCAAACACCGTGACGACGGCCGCTGGTACTACTTCGACGACAGCGCGGTGACTGAGGCCAGCGAGGAAGCCGTCTGTGTACGTACCGGCGCCGGATCACGGCGCACTTGGCTGGGGGTCTGATCCGCGCTCCACGGTCGCCGTGGGTGTCGCTGTGCCATTGTCGCGGCGCACTTGGCTGGGGGTCTGATCCCCGCTCCACGGTCGCCGTGGGTGTCGCTGTGCCAATGTCGCGGCGCACTTGGCTGGGGGTCTGATCCCCGCTCCACGGTCGCCGTGGGTGTTGCTGTGCCATTGTCGCGGCGCACCTGGCTGAGGGTCTGATCCCCGCTCCACGGTCGCCGTGGGTGTCGCTGTGCCATTGTCGTGGCGCACTTGGCTGGGGGTCTGATCCCCGCTCCACGGTCGCCGTGGGTGTCGCTGTGTCGCATTGTCGCGGCGCACTTGGCAGGGGGTCTGATCCCCGCTCCACGGTCGCCGTGGGTGTCGCTGTGCCATTGTCGCGGCGCACTTGGCTGGGGGTCTGATCCCCGCTCCACGATCGCCGTGGGTGTTGCTGTGCCATTGTCGCGGCGCACCTGGCTGGGGGTCTGATCCCCGCTCCACGGTCGCCGTGGGTGTCGCTGTGCCAATGTCGCGGCGCACTTGGCAGGGGGTCTGATCCCCGCTCCACGGTCGCCGTGGGTGTTGCTGTGCCATTGTCGCGGCCCACTTGACTGGGGATCTGATCCCCGCCCCACGGTCGCCGTGGGTTTTGCTGTGCCATTGTCGCGGCGCACCTGGTTGGGGGTCTGATCCCCGCTCCACGGTCGCCGTGGGTGTCGCTGTGCCAATGTCCACTCACTCATGGATGTTGGCTCTCTTTTCTCATGGTGATGCATGGGACAGCAGCGTACCACTGGGGTTACCAGCTGGGCAGGTTTTCGTAAATGGCGACCTTTTGATGATGTAGTTGTGACCTATGCTTTTCCAAGAGTTCGTATCGTAGTTTATGTCCTACCGATTTTCTTCCCGAACAAACCTGACACCCCATTCCGTCTGCTATTGAGATGAACACGCCACCGCCACTGCCAGTTGATTCGCCAGCTCGTCAGTGAATAAATCAGCGTCGTATATCGTAGATAGCTACCGATCGCCGATGATATTCGTATCGGGTCTGTTGCGAGAGCAGTGGCGGACGTCTGACCGACCACTTGCGGTGCCCGCAGTCGAAGGCGGCCTACGTGCTGTTTTACATGCGGCGCGAGCCTCAGAGCGTCGCCTGTCGGCCGCCGCCGCCGCCGCCGGCCACCGTCGTCTCCAACGGGCTGGCCGACGACTCGGGCGACGACATGGACTACAGCTAGTGGCGGTCGGCCGGCGGACTGCGGCCGGCCGGCCGGCGCGGCCCCGCCGGGCGCCGCCGGGGCTGGCGGCAGCGCCAGCTCGGCTCAGACGGCGGGGCGCGCCCGGTCGGCGAGGAGCGCCGCCGGCCCCGGCGGTCGGCGGCGCGCTCCGGTAGTGAGGAGTGAGATTGGCGCGCGGGTGGCGGACGCGGCGCCCGGCCGAGCCCGCCGACCGCCGGCGGTCGGCAGCGAGCGGGCTGGCGTGGCGGCCAGCTCGCTCCCGTGACACCTGAACGGTTGTGTCCGGCCCGGACCGGGATTTTAGCACTGCGGTGCGATACCTTCGGGGAGTGTTCGTCTCCTGTACCTCGGTAGGGAAGCCTGGATCCGAACCAGCGACGTCACCGATCTGTTATTTATTTCCGTTATGATTTATGGCTAAATACATGTTATCATTTAATGGTGATGCCAGTGTGTGCCACCCGCGGATCTTCTATGTATCACGAGTTGATAGTGCATCAAATGCACGGCTCGGACCTTTGGTCGGTCAGCGGCCGCCAGCGGCGGCAACCAGGTCGCATTGGGCGAGATCCTGCAGTGCACATTGTGCATAACCACAACTGCCCCTGTAGACGGAGCGGAACGAGTGGCCCTAAATTTGAGCGGGCCGTGATCGGAAGTCGAGCTGGAGCGTTTCTAAACCAAACTCAAATGATAATCTTGTATTCTGCTGACAAATTGCACGATCAGTGACATGGTCAGACAAATCCAGTGGTTCGAGCGCAGGTATGGGCAATGCTACCGCACCACGGTGCCTCGTTTCCAACAACTTTGGTAAAGTGGCGACGTGGCGCATAAGCTCTGATGGCATCTGAAAAACTGCGCCACTTTGCGCCATCCCCCCCCCCCCCCCCCTGCTACACACCTTCAGTAAACTGAGCAGCGAGGAGAGTCTGCGGTCAGCAGCTCAGCCGTGCGCCCGGGCCGCCGTCCTCTGCCGTATTCCGCCGCTGAAACCGCTCCAACTTCCAGCTGAGCCTGGGTCGAGGGGCGGGGGGCGACGCCTCGGCGCTGCCAACGATGCAGGGTGGGCCTCAGTGATCGTGGCTGTGGTCGTGGTCGTGGCCGTGGCCTTTGTCGTGGCCTTTGTCGTGGTCGTGGCCGTGGTCGTGGCCGTGGTCGTGGTGGTCGTCAAGGTGGTCAGCCTCGCAGTCGCAGTCCGTTTCGTCGGGGCCGTGACAATGCCGGTGCGGGTGTTCCTCGTCGCACCCCGGATCGATAAGGTGATCTGAAACGGAGGGGGCGTTAGCGGCGCTGGCCCCGGCCGCCACCTGACGAGACCAGCGACACCGACGACGACGCGCTATCCACTCCGGCTAGTGCAGCGTTTGCAGCCCACGCTAGACGCAATGTTCTGCACAGCGCGTGTGTGAGGAGGCTTTTGTGGGAACAACGGCTGCAAGCTGCCGTGCAGACCGGGATGCATTGCGGCTGTCGAAAGTCAGACGCCGGACAATTTGGTTCCTCCGCCTATTACCTTCAGACCATGCCAACGACCCGAGAAAGTCGTCGAAGGTCGAACCGTACCTGCATGCGTGGCCATGATGAAGCACACCAGGAGCAAGGCAACGATGACTGCCGTCTTCATCTTCGGCTCAAGCTTCGGGACTCGGGACTCGAATGACTGGGGTTATGAGTCTCGCCCGGTCTTATATACTCGTAGTTGCACACGTCTTAGGGATCACGATTTCCAGGAGTTTCTCAGTCATCGTGGCTTGGAGGACTTCCAAATAAAGCCTACGTTGTTGTTGCCCAGCGGCGCGTGCACTGGAGGAAAAGAAGGAGGTACAGGTAATGTTGGTGTCACGTGCGTTGGAAAACATAACATTGGGCTAGGTTTTGCTCATGGTGTTGAATCGAAAGGAACGAAATCTAACTGCGGTTAGATTATCTGCAGGGTCCGGGATCCTTTCTTTCAACGGGGACCATCTCCCGCTGATATGGCAGCGAACTTGACCATGGAGCATTGATGAGTTATGTAAATTCGGAAAAAGCCTTGGGATTTCCAAGCTGGATTGTCCTATCCCTTGCTTCGCTGGAACTGATAAGCTTCGAGCCATCGGTAACAGGTAAGCCGTGGAGCCGGTCTTGCACTAACCCTCTCGTTAAGTGCTCTCAGGAAAGGCCCGTGCAGCTGCACTGAGGGCACAAGGCCTCATCAGCGGTCCGTGGCAGAAAGCGCTGTGTTGAAGCAATGGGTGGGTTTCGTAGCAGGTCGTGCGGGTCTCAAGCTGGGATGAGTGTTCACGTGGCGATTGGCGTGATGCGGTATGTCGCGCATTATTTGGGAAATCCACATGGCTTCCGCAGTGACCATTACATGTCATACGCAAAAGCTCCGCAGTAAATAACTCACGCTGCGATACAGTAGCTGCGTTCGGCAGCAACCAACCTACGCTACAATACAGCAGTTGCGTTTCGCGGTCACCAACTTGCGCTGCGTTGCAGTGGCAACGTTCCACAGCAGCTAACTTACGTTACGAACTAGGCGTGAGGGATGCCTCCAGCCTCGCAGTCCCAAACTGAGTGGAGCTTACGCTCTCTCTGAACAGCAGTGGTCCAGGGCCACGCTCCCTGTTGGTACTGTCTGCGGCGAGCCTGGCCACCAGGCAACAGAACCAGACGGTCCCGAAACACCGACGCGCAGCCTCTTGTCAAACGCGCCAACGTTTGTTGACTCACACCGGTTTTTGACCATGATGTTGACTGATGCTACTGTTGGATGGTACTGACGTTTGGCCGCACGACCTGCGGCTGACGTGGATGTGCTAAAATGACGACGAAAACGGCCATAGCAGTTACAGATGTCATGCAAAAACCTATAAAAAATCACCATCGTTACCCATTGCAGTAGCGCACAGTTTAATCAGTCCACACATGTCAGTGTCTTCGCCAGGCAGGCCATACGGCTCGAGAATGCCTGTTGAGGAGAACACGTCACGGGTAGCCAGCGACACCACGCTATATATCAGTCACGTCACGGGTAGCCAGCGACACCACGTTATATATCAGTCGTTTGACGTTGACGTTCGTCATGAGAGTACCAGAGCCCTGGAAGGGCGGGGGGGGGGGGGGACGCAGCGTGGCCTGCTGAACCCATATTGTAGGTGTAGGTGGGTTCACACACTGGTATTAACATGGTCAACTCATGTTTGCCTGGGAACATGCGAATGCAGTCATAATCGATTAATTAGCATATGTTACATAGTTTTGAACTTGCGCGCTCGCAAGTCTTGGAAACAAAGACGTTAACACCCCGCGTTGCAGTTTCCGTAGGCTGCGCTGCGTCGGTTCTGCAGCTAACACTGGGCAGCGACCAACGGACAGACGAAGATGATGACGCATCTGGAATAAATACATTTAAACATTTAATAACACCAATTGGC